GAACACACACACACACACACACACACACACACACAGGCGAGGCATTAGAAAACTCCAAAGTCATCCAGTTTGCTCTAATCATTACAATTAGTCGTGAATTATCACCGGACTCTGACAGACGTTCCTTGTAACTCTCTTTTATTTCCACCCCGCGCTAATCAGCGGCTCTCATTACAAACGCTGATTAAACTGCAAATTACCCAGCAGCGGCCCCGTCCGCGCCTACCAGCGCCTCGCTCAATATCAATTAAGTCTAGCAGCCCGTCTGTAGTCTCACGGCGCTTCCAAATGCTTGATAGTGCCACTTATTAGTTTGGAAAACTCGGAAAATACCAATAATCAACGGCCATGAGGCTGCAGGGGAAGGAGCCCGGGGTTTTCCCACCTCTCAGATGCAATCACATGAGCTTTGCACGATATAGGATTTCTGCTGCTGCCATGCATGCAAGGCCTGGAGGAGGCATCAGTGCATACACACACACACACACACACACACACACACACACACACACACACACACACACACACACACACACACACGGAAACCTGCGCCATATTTTATTCATGTCTACTGTGGGAGACAAAAATATATATTAGATAATCTCATATCTCTCTTGTTGGAGTAATATTTTGAGATAATGTCTTGCATTAATGCATGGCCAATCTCAAACATCATTAGATCGTTCCGGTTTGCAGAGAGAATGAACTGATTTCTACCCTCTTCTGTTAACCTGTTTAGTCTTGGTTTAATATAAATTAATGGCAACTCATTATAATTATTTTGCATTAGAAGGGAATCCTGGTCCTGCATGTTTCTGTAACCCTGACTGTGATAGTAGATCTGCACGGTGTCGAGCAAAGGGAGGAAGTAGTAATTAAAGGAAGTTCAGATCCTTTACCCAAATAAAATAAGCAAATATCAAATTGGAATACTCAATTAGTACAAATACTGCACTGAAAATGACCAAAGTAAATGTATTATTAACAAAATGTATTTAAAGTATTCTCATTATGCAGAGAAATGTCTGTGTTACATTATATTACTGTAGTATTTGTCTTGATTTATTTACTCTGGGTGAAGCAATCTACTTCTTCATATACTTTTTTACGTTTAATACGTTTTTTAATCCATAAGAATGCTTCATATTTAATGAGCTCATCGCTGGTTTTGTGCAAAAAAAATGTGAATCTGCAAAGTAACTAAAGCTCTCAGATAAATGTAGTGGAGTAGAAGTCTGAAGTAGCATCAAATGAAAGCATTCAAGTCCCTGAAATTGCACTTAAGCACATTTGATCACATCTACTGTATCAATCATGAAGTTGTATGTCTATTTACCTTGATAAAAATTCAAGATATATTACTTTTTCATGACTGTTTACCTGCAAGCTTCGTCTTTGCCGGTTATTCAAAGTGTTGAGAACACTGTGTTTAATAAAGATGAGTTTATTTTTATCTGTAATTTATTGCGGAATTGAACTTAGATTTGTGCTCTCACAACAGATGCAGCATTTAATTTCCTTCCATTTGCAGGCTTTAATAATGTCACGTGTAAATGAAGTTCTGGTGGTGGAATAATGAATGTCTTCACAGGAAATAAATGTTGTTTTTTCAAGCCTGCAGCAAATTTTTTTATATTTGCTGGAAATTATTACAATATGTACAGTATTGAATATACTGAATTTTGAAGCTGGATATGTGAAAAAATGAATTTAAAAAATAGCAAAATAATCAGACTGTGATACTGTTTTAATTGTATTACAAGAAACAGAATCACCACCTTAACACTGATATGACAATGTTATGATCATGCACTGTTAATCATTATTTCACCTTTATACTCAGATTTTCACTCTGACGGTGACAAGATACAATATTTTTTGAAACTAATGTCAATAATATTGCAAATCTTATGACAAAATGATGGTGAGGACGTATTTAACATAATTATTTTAATGAAGAGAATGTGGTTCTATTTTGTGTATTTCTTTGCATTAAGGAAAGTTTCCTCCCTCTTATAACAGAGGCTGCTTTCCTTTCCTCCACCCTTGACTTGACAATTGCTCCGCTCATCAGCTGTACGTTCTGTTGTTATATTCAGCTGTGATGAGAAATTAAAGACGTTAAAGTTGTTGTTAACATGCTGTATATAATTAGTACTCTACTATATGGAAAAGCTGTGTTACCATAAGGTGCAGAAAAGCAGTTGAGTAACATAAACTTTTAATAGTATTGGCAGACTGAAGACTGGATTGTAATAAAAAAAAAAAATGTATATATATTTTTTAACACAAGCACCCTTGAAGAATTCTATGAAATTGATTCTTTTTTCATAGATCACACAAATCAATATCAGATGCACAAAGATTCAAATTATATTGAATGTGCTGTCTTTGTAACACAGCTTTATCAGCCATGTCAATTGTTTAGCTTAAGTGATATACTGTGTAAATAAAGAAAATGGCTTATTCTGAGGCTTATAAAACCTACACGGAGCGTCAAATATTTGCCTGTATATAGAGTTGAATGCTTATTGATATTAAATGTTAAAAGTTGAGTTAATGCAAGAAATACACTGCTCTGCGAATGCAGTACATCTATATTATATATGGATATATTACAGTGAACAAGATGCACACGTAACTGGCAGGTTGTGATAATAATTGTCCATCAAGTATAAGTGCACTCCCAAAAATAACATCTTTAGATTAATTAGATAGACACAGGTTCATATACTTTAGTAATTTATTGCATTATAATGATAAAAATAAACAAACATTTACTGTAATGCTTATAATTTAAATGTGATAGAGCCGTGGTTCCCAACCTGGGGTTTTGGACCCCCAGTAGGGGTCGCCAAAGCTTAACATGGCGTCGCAAGGCCTTCTTGATTTTAAGGGGTGTAAGAAAACTTTTTAAAATATACACAGTAGGCCGATAGCTCAGCGTTTCATTCATTTCTGTGATGAAATTTTATTTTTTAAAGTTCAGATTATATTTTAAGAGCTTAACATTGAAGACGTGAACACAAGCTGTATTCACAGAGCCGTCACACTCTACTGAACAGCCTTGTTTGGTCAACAATGGCCGAGTGTCAGAGAGAAGAAAACACTGAATTTATCAAAAAAGAAGCCTATTAAGTATGTATGATTGTTAGAACACACACACACACACACACACACACACACACACACACACAACCTCTGTATTGTCTGTATTGTGATAATATTGTGACAATACAGAGAATTGTATAAAAAGTTCCTAAAAATATCAGAAAAACTGATCTGTGATATTCACAGGGAATAATCTGCTAAAAATTCATCCAAATCACTGAGTTCCTGTAGTTATTGTGTTCGCTATTTGGGTTCATTGTACAGTTCATCAGTTGTTCGATGTTGATGCTGTTATGCATTAAATATTACTTAATACGAAACACCTATAAAATATGTCACTTAGTCAGGGGTCATCAGTTTACTCAATGAAAAAACTGAAAAGGAGCTAAATCTGACAATAGTTGAAACAAAGACTCTCTGACACATTAACTGACCTCAGCACAACTCTTTAAGAAATTATTCTTATTTGATATTTAAATGATAATTCAACATTACCACATTATATTGCACCTGCACTTATCACCTCTTATGAATCAAATACATTGAATTAAAAGAAGTAGAAGTTATTTTACTGTCAACTAAAATCTGTTTTATACAATTATTCTACAATAATACATTTAATTTACTTAATAACATTATAACAATTACCACTGAATAGACTTCCAAGTTTATATGATTGATGGTCAGAGACCAGTGAAACATTGGAGATCTGTTACAGGTTAAAAACCTCCTCAGATATCACAGATATCTTTTTAAAAGAATATGAGACAATTATTTTGGCTTTAAATTCATTTTGTGTTCATTCTGATGAGGCTATTCTTGTCTTGTGTTGTAACAGTAAGCCTACGTTTCTAATTCCTATTATCTTTCTTATAGTGGCTATCTACGTATTGATGACACATTTTAAGATTTAGTTTGAAGGTAAAAGATTAATAGTCAATTGGCTAAGGGCCTTGATTCCTAAACTTAATCTAAATACACCTATAATACTGCAGACACACGATTTTCCACACTGTATATTAATACCCATGTTTGTATATATCCCCTCCCATGAAAAAACTACAACAGGGCAACATCCCAGATTATCTTTTCCTTGACAACTTTCAGCTCTTCTGAGGGAATTCATGGTCTCCTCTCACAACTCCTTCAGAGAGAGATGTTATCCTACTCTCCGTGTGGAAGAACAACAGCTGGGCACCCAAATCAGAATCAGAATTTAGTGCCCTGCAGCAAACTTCTTGTTATTCTGAAGATGAGTGAGGCCCTCCACCTTGCCCTACCCAAAACTTGTGAAGCTGACACAAACCCTGTGACTCTCCATTTACCGCCGCTGCTGCTCGGTAACAACAGCAGCGTTACTAGTGAGACATCGTCAAGAAAACAACAAAGACGAAAACAAATGTCACAGAACAGTCTCATGACTATGCACTCAAATGCCCAAAGTGGAGTAGAGAGTGAAGAGAGGCTCTGAACCCAAATATGTGACAGCATAAACACAAAACCTGGTGTACGTAAAAACCACAACATCACCCACAAATAGGACAAATATGCATTATTTATTATTTATCCTATATTATATTATATCAGTAGCAATTGCACTGCGTAAAAATATGTATATACCAAATAAATAAAATATAAAAAACAAGAAGTATAGCTCCAATAAGTACCAAAATACTCTTTACACTGAACCTCCCATTTCATAATAATATAATATCACTTTATTATAATTATTGGTGTATTAATGTGTGTCGCAGCTGGTAATAATAATTACCATAATAATAATAATAACTACTTTAGATTAAACATGGTCTAAAGGAGCTCCCTCCACACCGGAACCTGTCACTGTGATCCAAACGCTCGATAATCATCCTCTTCCAGAGATCGATTTATCTGCGCTCAGCTCGTCACTCCTCACATCCACCTGCTCAGCGTTCACACACAGTTAGCCTACAGTTAGCCTACAGTTAGCCTACAACAGAGTAATAATAACGTTACTCACAACCTCCAGCCATGGCAGATCCAAGAATACGGCAAATCAAGATTAAAACGGGTATCGTTAAGAGGTAAGGCTGCCTTTCTGTGTCCACTAAACATGAGTCAGCATGTCAAACGAGCTGCGTTGAAGCTAAGGCTAGCGGCTAACTCGCTTAGCTGGTTGGACAGGCCGACTCGGCATTTAAGCACCCCGCGCACGGAGCAATGTTTGTCGGATAGGTTTTAACTCTACTCCGGTGTTTCGGCGCGGCCTGTGGTGAGTTAGTAGCCGGCTACGCGGTTTTCTTCTCTTCTGTTTGTGGTGGCCACGCTTCATTCATTGTTTGACCCAGCTGGTGTTTCTACCGTGATAATACAAGCACAAAATACTCGAAATAAAATATAATTATAACGTTTTTAAGTAAACTAACGTCCATCGTGCTAGCCGTTAGCTTCCACACCGCTGTGAACATGTTGCCTTTCTGCATTGTTTCCCCAAACAGGTCATATATGCTGATGGAGCAGGGCCCTCGCAACCAAGGCCCCTAAACTATTTTTATTTTGAATTATATTAAGTAAAACCAGCTGTTTTAGCTTTGTTTTGTTATTAGCACATAGCACAACATCCCTCTCGCTCCAGTCTTTGTGGATGTGAGAGTCACTTCAGGATAAAAGCTGCACAGTCATGTTGCCACAATAAGGGAAAGCCTCCCTCCTGTACTGCTGCTGAACACCTGGATGTCAGGCCTAGTGTAGGGGGTACTGTAAGTGCTTCTAATGTTTGATGCTGTCTTTAAATTAAACATATTTTATATCATTTTGGGCAGAAGTTATGACTTCTGCACGGTATGGTTAAAAACATGATATTGCAATAATTTGGACTTGCATTGTGATGTGATTCCAGATTCGTGTGGGAATGATTATTTTTGCAGCACAAATGTAATTTTTATTGACCTTCTTTTAGGTCCATCCCACGTAAACAACAAAACAAACAGGATTTGTAGGTCACAGCCGCTCTGCTGAAGCACAGTACTTCAATGTAATACTGTTTTGTGACACATTTTTACCTTTTTTTTAATCAAAGCTTTATCAGTTTTTGTGGTTTGGATGTTGCACTTATTGCTGTATTGTAATTTCGATAATATCTAGATTAACTGTGCAGCCTTAACAGAAATCAAAATCTCTCATATCCCATCCCACATTTGCATTATTACTGCTTATAAGACTTTATCTGTGTGGCATACAGTAAATCTGGAAACACTTAATACACCGCCGAGGTCTATGTTTTTGGTATTTTTGGCAACATTATTGCCCCATTTGTGCCCCTTGGAGTCATTTAATCTGTTTTAACGTGCAAATTAAGTAGGCAGTTCTCTCGTTTAGAAATCTGGTAGAGCGATATAAAAAAAGACTACACTGATGTGAGGGAATTTGGGTCATTGTTGGATGAGGTGATGTAATACAGTAAATAGTATCCAACTTAAGTTTTTTTCACCGTCCACCTCTTTTACATACGGAGGAGCACAAATTGAGAATCAAAGAAATTAGAAGTAATTTATAGTATGATTCAGTTTAACACTCAGCCTCCAATGGCCTTTCTCACAAAATGTCAACAACAACTCAAAGTGAAAGTATGAATAATAAAATACTACAAAAATCCCTGTAGAGGACTAACAAACCAGCAAATAAACACATTTGACAAGTTGGAATCAGTATATTTATGTCACTTTTTGGATAGAAATAACTTAAACGATTTGTACAAAAATGTTGCAGCTCAATCTTCTGTCAATGAACTAATCAATCAGTTGACTGTTTGCTTGTAGATGTGATAAAACATCTGATTCACCTTCATGAATCAAGTGATTAAATAACTAAGTAATAACTAAAACCTTTCTCAAATACGAAATATGTTATCAATGTCCAAATCCAAGCCTAAGTATGTTCCCTGAGCCGCATGTTCACTAGTTTAATCAGTTTTGTCTTCCTCTCTGTTCACTTCACCAGTGTTTGCATTGTTTTTTAGCAGCTGATAGATGTATCTGAGGAGTTCACTGTCTTTATTTTGGACTTAAAAAGGGACAAAAAAAAGGGAAAATTGACTCTTACAGTAGAAAATAATAACAAATACTTATACAGAAACTCTAATACATTAGTTTTCCTAGACAGATTTGTTATGGGAAAAAAAAAACATGTGCTTTTTGAGTCTCCTCTCAAGCTCATCATCCAGTCTCAGACAGCCTATTAATAGACTTGGCACACGTCCCTAAATTTGTGCAATAACCAGATTTACCACGCTGGAATAGAAAATACTGTAGATATTACGAGGTGTGGTGGGATAATGGGGCTTAGTGTAGTAGTTTGTGTGATGGACTGAGAGTATCTCTCGTCGCTCAGGCAGACGTCTAATTCCCTCCTGTCAATGGCGATAGTGTAATGTGCTATCGATTGTGTTTTGATGAGGGTCAGATTACTAACAGGCTCCCCGAGGTGGTAATGATGGTGGTTGGATTTCCCATGGAGGATGATGTCCCAGAGTACACATAGTACAATAGGTGTACTGTCCCTCACTGTGCTGATGTTTTTGAGCTTGAGAACGTTCTATATGAACATAGGAGATATTACATCTCACCCACACTACACCAAAACTCTACACTACTACCTTGACATGGACCCTTAATCAAGCTGTTAGGTTTAAATGTACAAACTGTCATTGCTTTCTGTCTCTTCATAATCTCACGTCCCTCCCGTACAGACTCTTTGTCCTCTGTCTCTCCCCTTTTTTCTCCCTTCTTTCCTCGCTCGCCGCCCTCCTCCCTTTTTATATATTGGAGTTTAGAGGAAACCTGCCTGCTCTTTTAGCCGGGCCTATTTCCAGTGGCTTTTTGCACATTCCAGTCAGTGCCTTTTCTGCCCTAGCGAGGCGGATGCCCTTAATAAAATGACAACAGTAATTTGCCTTTGTCATTCCGGTCCCAGCACAGACTACATCGTGGCTCAAAAATACAGTGCTAGAGGAGGCGGCCGAATGTGTGTGTCGGCTGGCTCTAATTCCCTTTTTTTTCTATTTTCCAGCGAGCTGCCTTTTCCATTAAGCCTGAGGTGGCAGGTCTATTTAAAACCAGCCACGACCCCACCCCTCATTCACACAGCGCTCCAAGTCTGGGAGAAATAAGAAATTAACATCAGGACTGGAAGGGGGGAGGAATGGACATTTTGTTATTAGACTGTCCTTCAGTTTTATTCAAATTGTTCCAGCCTTCCTTCCTCCATCTTTCCTCCTCTCTTTGCCACCTTTCTTTGACTCCAAACAGGTGACATCTCTCACTCTGCATCAAGCACAAGAGTGGAAGGCGGGAGCTGCTATTGCATATGGTTCCTGTTTAAAAAGCTTCTTGATGGAATCGTATTGGAATGAGTGGTAATTGATGTAAAATATGACAGAGTGCTGTCTGCTTCCTTGGCTAAGCACGGAGCACTGCAACACGGAGGGAAGGGGTCTCCAGTAATGTGACTGATTAATGAAGGATCACTCACTTATGCACACACAGCTGATTTTTATGAAAAATTAAATTTGTGTTGTCATTCCGACAAGCAGGCACTGCCGGAAAAAGACTATTAGTTGGGAATTATTATCAATAGCGATATTTTCAAACTCCATTATGCCAATCAGGGTCGGAATCTGTTTAATAGATTTAGTTCCATTTGGCCCGTAATTGATAAATAATCAAAATTTATCAATGTACTCAAGCCCATTTTCACTAACAATCAAGGAAAAGAGGCCCATTTACCACCTGACTTGGTCCAAATTAGGGACTAAATTGATGATCAATTAATCTCTAAAAAGGACTGGTAGTATGTGGGTGTGTGTGTGCGCGTCGGAGGCGATTCAGGTGGATAAAGGAGTCAGTGATAAGTTGTGAGCTCGAAGGTGTCATACAGTTAACAAGGACAGAAAAAGGTTTTGTGTTTATCTATGTTTACTGAACATATAGTTTAAGTTAAAGTTGGAATATGATGAAAATTGAGAATTTTAACGCCCATTTATTTGAAATTTAATCCGAATTCAGTTTGCTTTACAAACTACGGAAACAAAAATTATGATCAAACTCATTGTCAGTGTCATTAGAGATCAGATCAGATTAGTGCTGAAGTGAGTCCTCGAATAACCAATTAGTCGATCCTTAGAAAATTAATTGCCAACACTTTTGATCAATTAACCATTTAATTCAAATTCAAAAGTCAAAAAGTGGTCATATTTTCTGGCTTGGTTAAAGGACTGAAAAAGACAACTGGCATGTATTATGCGCCGATGTATCTTTCTTTGTTCTCCGCAAATTTGTCCCAATAATCTGGATGAGGGCTCTTAAGAGAGGTAATCATTGCAAACAGCAACTTGGCTATTCTTTTTGGTTTAGCAACACGGCTTCGCCTCACGTTCCCTCATGTTTGGTTGCACCGTTGTCAAACATTTAGCCTAGTTAACAGTTTAATTCATGCGCCACCTTATCAGCTTCTTATCTGTGCCAATGTTTCATTTGTAAAGCCTTGATTGGCTGATACCGATGGTGTACCGATATCATTGTGCATCCCCAGTTACAGTCACTACAGACTCATCCGCATGCAGTATGAAATCTGTTAAATATATTCAGTCTCATTTCAGTATCATTACCTCCTATTGCTCAATAGTTTTGTCTGTTTACCTTTAAGTAAATGGCACGAAAGCTATTATTTTGTCAGTTTAGCAACTGCATTTTAATACATTTTCAGTGTTTATTTCTAGTTTTTTCCAGAAATAAAACATTTTTCATGTCAGATAAGCATCATATTAATAATTTATGGGAAGCATTTCTCTCAGATATTCAGGGACATTCTTAAAATATGCATGTGTATCCCACCTGAAGTTGCTTTAGAGCAAAACCTACTTCATATCAAAGCGTAATTTAAGGCTGATCTCCACGTGGATGCTAGTGTTGTTGTGTGGCAACGGTGAGGAGGAATGATGTGTTCGCTGGTTGTTATTGAGGTGTGTATCTTGCCATCCTGCGGGAGATGATCTCACCGTGTCCCCTCAGTCAGAGGAACGTTGGCGAGAATGAGGATGGATGGCCTTGTCTGTGAAAGGTGACCATCACAGCCCGCCTTTTCATGGTTCGGCCTATATTAACTGTCTGGGAGGCTGTGTGCATTTATGTTTCATCGTTTGATGGAACAACACCGTGTCACTGCCTTTAACTATGAACTGTCTTTTCCTCTCTTCCTGTCCTCATTGTCTGCAGGCTGGCGAAAGAGGAGATTTCGTACAAAACCGAGGCGAAGCAGCAGGAGGAGAAGGTCGAGCGCATGAAAGCCGAGGCAGGAGATCATTATGTCATCAAGAAACAGGTACGTGGGTCTTATGTTTCGCCTCTTTTTGATCTTTTACAACAATTATGTGTCTTCATTTGGAAAACTCTTTTGCTTTATCCATTTTATACATTCACCCGACAGTTTTCCCGTTGATCTCGGCCACTAAGTGAAGGGGTTGTGCGCTCCCATAGTTGGGAAGTGAATTCTATCTCGATGATTTGAGATGCCCCTCGTTCATGTAATGAGGTCAGTCCACAGTGATAATGAAGAATTAGGTTTTGAGAGGAGAATCATTAGTGATTTTGTAATTTGCTTGATGCAGATGTAATTATATCATGTTACTTTAGAGGAGTTTGATAATTACTGACACATGCTGGTAATTTAGTGTCCCTAACCTCCTCTCCATTCTCTGTCACTATGTCTACAGTTTTCCATCATTTTCACGTGCATTGGAGAAAGCAGTACAGGCTTTCACAGACTAACACGTTGCTGGCTCGTGTTGTGTCTTGATGGCATCTTAAACGTTGACTTCTATCTGTTTGCGGAGAGAAACTGAAATGCAGAAGGATAAAGGGGCTAGGATGGCGTCGTCAGTTAACACAGACAGATACACGGGTACAGTTCATTACACGGGAATTTAGATAGAAAAAGTGAAATTAAGCAGAATGTTAAATAATAGCATTCATCAGTGGTCCAGACTGAAATATCTCTACTGGATAGATAGCTATAAAATATTATACAGACATTAATGTACCAATAATGGTTACTGAATAGGCTAAATACCTCAGTTTTGTACTAATTAGTGTTTCTGTGTTAACACGGTGCACTAAGATGGTGAACATGGAAAACATGATACCTGCTAAACATCAGCATTTTACTGTTTTTGTTGTTGGCATGTTTGAAAGCTTAATGCAGCATTTAGCGCAGCTGTGCCCAACTACAGCCCCACAGAGCTACTAGCAAGGCTGTAGATTCACCTTTGTCTTTTCTGTAGTCGAAGGGTGTAAATTATTTTTATCTATGGAGCGTAGAAAGTCAACTGTAGCTAACGTATGTTGTGCATTTTGAACAATCACGTTGGAAAAGTTTGGTGGAGTCACAAAAAAATATGTTTATGCTTGCTTAAGGTGGCTTTTGCCAAAATTTAATGCACTTATGACTATTTCTGAGTAAGTTCTGACGTAGCGAACATTTAACTTACATGACTGACTCAGGTAGTCTTCGCATTGCTCCTCTGATCTAACCTTCCTCGCATTAATACCTTAAACAAACAGAAAATGGCATATTTCCATCGTGGTCTCTGCATTGTTTTTCACTGTTTGAGGTTTGACTGGAGCTCTTTTAATTTGCTTATATTAGCAGGTAGATATAACTGTTACACAAACCTATTTAATCTCCAAACAAAAAAATCTAAAATGCTTCACTTTAACCCCAAAAGGTTCGACATATGGACAATACCAAAATCTGTTGGCATGGTCCACCAGTACGGCTCCATGCTTCTACCAGCACCGGCTCCCAGTTCATTTGAATTTCACTTCTACGTGTTTCAGGCAGCGAGGAACTGCCGAGCGGGCGCCGCTTCTGATTATGTTTACTGGTAACATTAAAATTCTGTGTGTGTTTTGTTTTGTTTGTTCATTCATAGAGCGGCGGCTCAGGCTGAGCAGCAGGCTTGGCTGGTGTTAAATGGGGAGATTGGGAGGCCAGATGGATTATGGTTGGAGATGAGAGGTCTGAGGCAGGATGGATTAGAGGTTTTTATTTTAATGGAATCAATACGCTGTAAGTGTCATCTTTATCCAGCACTGATGGGATCATTCCACTGCACTGGGAGGGCACCATGACTTTTCTCTGTTCCAGCACTCCTTTGCTTAGTCCGCCTCACCTTGTCACATCTAGATGGCAACCAACTCGACTAGTTGTCTACCGTCTCTCAGTGTGTCAGTTAGTCTGCCAGGCTGCCCGTGTATGAGTTCATCTGAGCGCCTGTTAGTGTGCACAGCCGTGAAATGTACATGTGTGTAACTGCGTCCGTGTTTTGACTCTCCAGCTCGACAGAGGGCTAGGTGAGGAAGCATCTGTCATGAGCGAGTGTGTCTGACAGCGTTAGCCAACTCTTCTCTGCTCTTTAGGGTGCCAGCTGGGGGAATTCCACATTAGCCGCGGCTGTGAAAGTTCCCCAGGCTTTAACACAGTTTCACTCCAGGCGTAGTAATACCTCTTTACGCCTGATCACAGTGCCCTCGGCTCAGGGTTTCTTCATTTATCCAGGTGTGCAGTCAGATCGAGGTGGTCCCCTGCTGCCCAACTCCCTGCTCGATCGATAACTCAATAACATTTTTCATAACCGCCGGCTTGTTTGGGAGATGTTAACCACAGCAGAGACTACGTGGGACACCCTGCATGTTTCTGTCGGGAACAAGGCCACAGTGAAATACAGAGAATGAATATTCCTGTATCTAGCTGTTTAAATTAATGTTACTTGGAAAATACATGTTTGATAATGTGTTGATTTTTTGTTTTTTTTGTTTGTGAAGGCAGGTAATGAAAAACGATAACGGGAGCAGTGGTGGGGGTAAGTCCAATTAATGAAGATGGTGGTGGCTGATGTGGTCTCTCTGTGTGTGGTTTCAGTTGGAGGTGTTGCAGGAGTCCAGAATGATGATCCCAGACTGCCACCGCCGTCTGACCATAGCACACGCAGATCTGCTTCAGCTATTAGTGAGTAACACTGTCACTGTTCAGTGGACGTGTAAAGAAAAAAAAAAAAAAACCTTTTTCAACTCACAACAGTCCCTTCTGGGCTACTGTAGAAACATGGAGGACTCCATAGAAGGTGACCTGTGGTGTGTGTAAATATAAAAGGCTCATTCTATGGAAACTGTCCTGTCCTAACATATTGTTGTTGTTTTTTTTTGTCGTTACAGCAACCATGTTAGCCAACAGTTGCCTTTCTAGACATCAGAAAAAGAGCAACACTGATAAATATCTGTACAGTAAATGTGTGAAACCGGTCTCCATAAGCAACCTCTTTCACATTATGCATAGTTATTTGATTCAATGTAAACGAAAACAATGTTCTGTTCAGCTTTGAGGTTTATTTTGTTTGTCCTGTACACAAGCAAACAATTCAGATAGTCCAAATCACTGTGGTAGCTAACTGTAGTAGATGGTGTTACATGTTGTTGTGATTTGTTTTTAGTTAAATCTTCTTGAGCTTGTTCTTGGATTGCAACAAATCTTTCTGGAAACAATGCTGTGCTTACGTGGGACAATCCACAGACTTCACTGTGGACAGTTTTCAGGCTCAGTGAAAGCTGTTATCAACAACAACGGCACTCAAAAAGCACCAAAACTCTCAATACGTTGGCCTCAGTTAATGGGAGATATCACAAAGCTAGATCAGATAAAACAGAAGTTGTCTTCTTGGCTACATAACACAACCTGGAAAATGTGTTTTGGTGAGCTGAACATTTGAACCGCCTCCAGTATACGCTACACAAATTACCATATGTTGGTCTCTCCGTCCAACCGCTGTGTGATGATCCCTCCAGGATTTAAGTTGATATGGTGAGAAGCAAACATAAGCATGCATGTCTCAGGGTCATCTCAATTAATGCGGAGCAACAGTCAGGCAGCTGGTGGTGTGAGTCACTCACATGAGAGCCGAATGGTAGGCAGAGGGAGCTAACCCGGAATTAGCAACATGTCCCCTTCCCCATCACTCACCCGCCCTTCTTTCTTCCTTTAGACCGACATGTGCATATGCACACGCTCATCACCGTTCATTAGCAGCGCTGTCACTGCGGTGACCACCACAGGAACTCTCACACACACTTGATTAAAGGACATGGACACCATAAAGTCACGTTATCCCACCACTATCCCAGTAACATGACGCTGACTGAAACTTGACCTCAAGCGTTACGTTTTATGGCAACGAAGTGACATCCAAACAGTTTAAATGACACAAAGAGTTGAGGAGAGTTGTGGATTTATTCTTAAATAGCAGTAATTTGTAGTTTTTGGGTGTATATCTTCTAAAAGGGCAATAAAACCAAACTGTGTGTGTTTGTGTTTTTTCAGGAAACCGAAGAGGATTTGGCCGAATCAGAGGAGTACAAAGAGGCTAGAAACATGTTGGACTCAGTGAAGCTTGAAGGATGATTTCTGATCTGTTTCTGTTCTCACTGCAAGATTCACTTGCTTTAAATGTCCATTCCTTTCGTCAGGCTCTGTTTGCAACCGTGGAGGCATACTGAATCCGTTCAAAGTCTCTTGTTCTTGATGTAATTATTTCTACTGTTTACTCTTTAACGTGCCACCACATCAGACGCTGCCTCTCCTGAGTGTAAAAATCCCACAAGAACACGATAAAACATTCATTTTCTTACAGTAGAGCACTGGAGGGGGTTTTATTTTTTTCCTTTTTAAGATTTTATTCATCACACTAACACACAATCAGGACTTCATAGACATGATTAAACACGCACACACATTTGGCTGTTGTCTTTTCTGCCGTTATAACCATCACAGTTAATGGTGTGGGCCCGTTGCTGGATTTATTTGAAGGCTTTTCACTGGTCACTAATGTAAACGGTGAGAAACTGCAGATCTCTGTAGCTCCAGTGTTTTTATGAAGTGTTTTTGGATTCCTTTTTCATTCCTTTTTATATGTATCTGAGTTGGTTAAGCCTGCAGGACCTTTATTGCCTCTAACCCCTTGATCGAGATACATCCCAGAATACTAACCAGAGCTGCAATTAACTATTATTTTCACTGTCGATTAATCGTTTGGTTTGTAAAATGTCAGAAATAATACCCATCACAAGTTTCCAGGAGCTTGTTTTGTGTCCAAAACCCAAAAGATATTCAACCTGTAATGAGCTGAAAAGCAGCAAATGATCTCATTTTGGCATTTTTAGGCTTTAAAGAAATGACAAATGATTTATCGAGTATTTAAAAAAAAAAAAAAAAATTGTTGGGGATTGTAATTTTCTTTCAGTCGACAAATCGATTAATAAACTGATGGTTTGATCACTAATACTAACTGATGGGCTTGATTGCACTGTGTATTCTCCTGCTGGTGTCCCTGCTCAGAGCAGTGAAGTGGATTGTGTGTTGGTACCTACAATAAAGAGGAGAGCACTCTGGGAAACCCTGTCAGTCAAATGACAAATGTTGGTTGTGGCCTTGAATGATAAAACCGGGCCTGTCATCTATTATCCAAATGGCCCTAAAATAACGACACCTTGTATTAAAGGCTGAGAGAGTCCTTCCTAAATAGCCATACTAATAAATGAACTCAATTGCCAGACAAATTAAGGTTACATTTGACTTGATCCTTATTTTACACATTTCGATAATTATCGGGATCACCCCAAAGTCTCATTACCGCCCTAATGAGGCGCTGCTACTCCGTGGCATCTACCCCGCTCCATCTCGTTAAGGAAATCGCTCTTCAATGCTGATTATTTTATTTGGAGGTATAATTATATTTCTTTCGGATAAATCACGGCCTAATCGAGTCCGTACAGAGGGCAGCGGCGCTAATTGAGGCATGAGATGCGCCGGCGGGGCGCTACATCTGGGTTTATGTGACCGGAGGACCCGCGCAGGGGCTGGAGGGAGAATCACATCTTACACTGGAGTAGTGATATCTGTGAGATACTCCGTTACAAGTAAAAGTATGGAAGTATTATCAGATAAATGTGCTTAAAAGCATCAAAATAAAAGCACCTCTTAGAGGAGTTATTATATATATTATATATATTATTTTTATTACTAATGCATTAACTTAAAAGCAGTATTTTAATGTTGCTAGAGGAGATGGAGCACATTTTATGTAGTTCTATTGAAATACATCTTATTTTATAAACTGATTATATGGATATTTTTGCTTGTAGCCTCTTTTAATCTGAAAAAAGAAAAGTGTATTAACTATATAGGTGTCAGATAAATGTGGTGGAGGTAATTTAATGAACTATAAAACAGAATACTAGCTCAAAATGTACATTTAAATGCAGTACTTGAGAAATTAACTTTGCACCATCACTTGTGTAATATAGTGGGGTTACTTTGCCATATAGCTATATATATATATATATATATATATATATACCTCAGAGAAAAGCTATAGCTGCCATTTCCAATCTAGTAATGTGGGAGAATAATGAGAGCCTATAGCACATTTGCTCATAAGGTAACTAATACATTTGTACTTAAAGCTCAATACCTCACAATTATACTTCAGGATTTTAGTTTTACTTTAATATTCCACAACAATTCAGAGGGAAATATTGTACTTTTTACTCTGCAAAGATTATTTGGAAGCTATTAGTTAGACTCCTTTACAGATCTAGATTTTATAATGAGCTCAACAAAATACAATCTATTTATGTACAGTGAATTAATCCACCAAACTGTGTATAATATGGGTAAAATGAGCTCTACTGCAGCCAGCAACTTTAAGAAGCAGTTTACATGTTAATGCAATATTAATAATAATCCAGTATAGGATTATATATCTAATGTAATATATCTAATGTAATACTAACAGAGGGTATCTTCACTTTTACTTTTATAGTCTAATTTAGTGCATTTTATTAAAAAGACGATTTAATTTTACTTTATTTAGGAAACTGAATATTTATTCCACTGCTGAATTTGTTGAAATTTTTATAATTTGCAGCTTTATTGATATTAAAGACCCCCCGGTCTGCCGCTAAAGTTTGTCCGCGTCAAACTTCCTCCGCTGGCCGCAGTGGACGCAGAGCAGCCCGCTGCTTGCTGTGGCTGCAACCGAGTCGCCCTCCTCTTCTTCAACCCCGGTAACTTATTACTCCTAATCCCCCCCAGACTGTCACCAAATCAGCTGCATGAAACAAGAATCTCATTTGTTAAACTGGAGGCTTGTGCAGATGGAAGATCGATTGTTTTTCCTCCTCAGAAATCTCTAATTGAGTGAATACAGACTGCGGATCAGAGAGAGGAAGGAGGGGGGTAAAAAAAAGAAATAAAAAAAATCACCAGGGCCTATAGTGGTTTGGAGAGGCTGTACTGTAACCCACGAGGTCACGGGTTCGAGCCCCGCCACAGCCAGAGACGACCACACACAGGGATGTGAGGGGCAGAACCCCAACACGCCATTTTTACAGTATTATATTTGATGTTGTTTTTATTAAAAGTCACTCCTCGTCTCCACAACGCGTGAAAATGTCTACTTTCCACTCAGATGCACCGCATTAAACTTGCAGGGGGGCGAATTTGTTTCTCTATTTTTATTTATATCATGGAGAAGATTGATGTGAGCATGTTAGTGGGAAATCTGCCGGGGAGGGAATGCAGCTCACTGTGGCTCTGGTCCTTGTTTACCCTAATTACAGCCTTATCAAGTCAGCAAAAGCAAGACCTTCAACACACACACACACACACACACACACACACACACACACACACACACACAGAGAGAGAGAGAGAGAGAGAGAGAAAGAGAGAGAGAGAGAGAATCTATTGGCAACATTAAGTGAAAAGATGCCTTTGAATTAGTTAAAGTAAATACAATAGGAATACTAATAGGAATAACAACTTCCAGGTAGAATAATTTATCCAACAGCAAATTGGCTCATATAAATAACAATAATGAATAAATAAACCAGTAATAATAATAATAACGTAGGCTTTAAGACTCAAATGCAGTGAGTGAAATGTTCTTTTACTGCCCACGTTTCCCAAATAAAGCGTGAAATCTTGCTAGATTCAATCTATACAAACTAAAAGCAGCTGAATGAATTGTATTACAGGCAGCCAGTGTTTGTCTGGAGCAATCATACATGGATTTATTCAGAAAAAAACAACACTTATGCACCATTAAAAAAATTAAATCCCCCCCTTTTTTTTGGCTTGTAAATATTAAATAAAATGTTTTTTTAAAAATCAGTTCCATTTTTATTTGTTGTTGTTGTTGTTGTCTCTGACCACAGCACAAATATCTCACGCTCCCTGACACCTCATCATCCCCTCTCTGTGTGCTTTGGGGTTAACTATGAGCTGCTGCTACCGGAGGAGTCATTCACTTTTGTTTGTACAGCTATAAAAGCACTGAGCTATTGAAAAGTCGTAAAATGAAGCGCGCCATCCATCATCCCGCAATGTGATGATTCTGAATTATCCTTACAGGCTTTCAGCGCGCCAACAGACGCAGTAAACAGGCGACCACAAGGAAAATACTCCCAATTTTATACCATAATTATTCACACGAATAGCGGAGACTGTGCACAAATACACAAATATGTCTTAATAATTTAGTAAAATAAACGGAGCTATATCATACAGAATATAATTTAAATTTAACAACCGCTCGGTTCCAGCTTTAAACCCTCTTAAAGTCTACCTCAAAGTCCAGCTTCTAAAGCAACAGAGCCCCGATAAAGGAGAGGACAAGCAATATCTCCAAGTGCGCGTCTTCTGCTTTTTTTCCTCCCCCGAAGAAAGACGCAGACATCAGCGCAAATCTGCTCCACATGCCCCCGATGCGTCCGAGAGAGACTCCCCGCTCTCCACTCCATGCATCCATCCATCCCTCCCGGTCTGTCTGTCTGTCTGTCTGTCTGTCTGTCTGTCTCTCTCTCTGTCTGTCTGCCTGCCGGTCGGTCATGCCACCAGATTGCAGACAAATAAAAGATGAGCAGAGACGACTGAAGCCTGGATGGATGGAAGAAAAGAACCCAAACGAGCCCCGGGTTCACGCTCGGACGCCTCCTTTGTGCCACTTTTTTTTCCCTTCTTCCAGCACATAATAAATAAAAACCTGCTCCCTCTGAACGTCCCGACATCTGTCTGAAAGCATGTCTGATTCTTTGTTTGCCCCTTAAATATTTGGCAGACTGGTGGCCAGAGAAGCTGCTGTGCTAATTGACTCTAATGGCGTTCCGTTCGGCGACAATGGGAGCTCGTTTTTTATTTTATGTTTTAAAGTTGATTTTAAATAACTTTTTCTTGTCTCATTCAGAACACATAACCCTAATTTAGACCGATTATGAAATATGAGGAATAAAAAGGCCTCCTGCAGGTGTTCCTCTATCTGTTCAGGTGTCACGTTATTCAGGTGTATTAACTGTGGCCCCTTTATCACAGGGAAGCATTCACAGCTCGTGTTGAACTCCCTCCACTTTCCGCCGAATTAATTTGCTCACACATCATTTAAACCAAGTCCCTCCCTTCTTGACAGTTGGGCCTAAACACTAGTAAATTACCCCTAATTTATACTGATCTTACTCTGATATTTGCAATAGAGGCGTATAGATTTGGCACTAATTACATAAAAGCCTAATGGCCTTGAAAATGAGCCTGGTTAGAATTATATAAAGTTTGTTGTTTGGCTGACTGGGAAATCAAAGGGTATTAGAAGAGGTTCACTTGGTCTCCAAGAGGCATGAAGTGTCGTAAAGAGGTCGAAATATGCAATAATAATAATAATAGTTAAGTTATAATAAATGTAGTTTTTGCTGTTATAGACTCAGGTTCACAGTGAAGGTGTTACATTAGCTGTACAATGTGCTGTCTGTTAATGCAGCCATGTGCTTCCCACTCATAGGAATAACTCCCATTCCCGTCCGAGGGGCTCTCTCGGTGAGAGCGCGCGCAGAACAGCATGCACAATTAAACAAATATTGTGGTGATCCAACATTTCTTGAACGGGTCGAAGCTTTCACACAGATATTAAATCAGGTTATTTTATTGGATGTAATTTGGAGGAGAAATCAAAGCCAATTACAGGAATGAGGAGGAATGAACTTGTGGATGTGAGAGGATGGAGGATGGAGGTGGGGGGTGGGGGGAGGAGTGGTGGTGGTGGTGGTGGTTGGGAGGCTGGAGGGGTGCTCTCGGGCTAAAGCTGACATACCTCAGGCTTCAACTCTGATTGGTCCTCGTTTGGAGAAGCTCATGGGTTCATTCCGTTGTTAAGCGCCTCCCCATTTCTCTAAACTACATTATAATGCAACGAACCTCCCTTTTAACCACAAACCGAATTTGCTTTCATTTAGGCTATATATATTTCTTAAATAGGTTAAAGTCATAGAGATTTTTTTTTTGGAATAGCACTTCGCCCTGGAGCGGTGCGCAATGCTATCTCATGCCGACCTCCTGGATGCTCGC